AAAGAAGAAAACGGAAAAGAAGAAGCTGCCCAAGCTAGTAGTCAACGAGGATGAAATTGAGCAAGCATCCAATGCTAAACTCACCGAAATTGACATTGCTGAAATGTATGGATTGAACAAGAAGAAGAAGCCTGTACCAACCCAAGAAAAGAAGATCAAGCCTTCCAAGAAGCAACAAGAAGAAAAAGAGGAACAAGCACAACAACCATCCGAAGATGTCGATACCACCCAATCTGAGGGTTTCCTTTTAGTCAAGAAGCCAGAATTGACTGGTCGTAAGAAGGAAGAAAAGAAGGTCAATGATAAGAAGGACAAGAAGAAGGACGAAAAGAAGAAGAACAAGTCCATCTTTAGAAAGCTTGTTAATGACGATTCTGCCAAGCCACCAGGCGTCGGTGGAGAGAAGAAGGAAGAAGCAACAGCTGCTTCCGAAGAAGAAGGTGGTAAAAAGAAGAAGGCATCATCAGCCACCACTGAAAAGGCTCCAGAAAAGTCTGACAAGAAGGAAAAGAAGGAATCAACTGAGACAAAGACTGACAAGACAACCAAAAAGCCAACTCAAAACGAGGAGAAGAATGGAAAGAAGGAAAAGGCTTCCAAGAAGTCTGAGAGTAGTGAATCTCAAGCCGAGGTCGAGTCTGATGCTTCACCAAAAGAAGAAAAGAAGACCCTTGAGGAAAAGAAACCTGAAAGGAAGCCAATGACTGTTGTGAAGGATCCATATGTTACACAAGACGATTTCTGGGAAGAAAACGTTAGAGAGGTCGAACCACCAAAACCAAAGACCAAGGCTCCAAGAGACCAAAATACCGAAAATACTAAGGCTCCAAAAGAAAAGAAGGAACCAAAGGAACCAAAAGAACCCAAGGAAAAGAAGGAACCAAAAGAAAAGAAGGAATCCACTGAATCAAAGAAGTCTGAAAAGTCCAATTCACTCACCACTTCATCATCCAAGAAGAAGGACAAGATTACTTCTGTTAAAATTCATGTCAACGCTGAAGCTTCAAGCTCAACTGCAACATGGAACTCATCTTCTCCTTCTACAGGAGCAGGAGAGTCGTCGTCAGACGATGCCAACTTCCCCAAGGTTGGTGCAAAGAAAGTGAAACCACCAAAGCCAGCAGCAGCAGCATCTGAGGCAGTTCAAGATCATGAGAATCCACTCAAGAGAGAGAGCGAAACCAAATTTGAAATTGATTACGCATCTCCTGAAGAAAAGAGAGTTAAAATGACTGAAAACGAGGATCAATAATTTTTTTTGTTAGGTATACTAAGTTTTCTCCCTTTTTGGTACAAGCAACAACACGGCAAATACCGCTAAAATCATTTGTAAATCTATCATTTATAATTATTACATAATAATAATAATATTATTAAACACAAAATTTTGAAGACCTTTTCAAAGCCTAGCTCAATCAAACGCAACATTTCCAAACTGATCAATTCTAACAAATAAAAAATGAGTCAAAATCCAGTTCCACTCTCATCATCAGCCAAGGAATACAACATCAACTCAATCAGCAATGCGAACACCTACAATGTAACACCTATCACGATGCCCTCTTCTCTCCCACATGAAACTATATTTTTTGAAAATTATAAAAACTATTCGGGAAAACCTTATTACAATTCAAATAGTAGCAGTGCGGCAAACACTCCTCTCGGAGTGACCATCATTAATCAGGGTGGATCTGAATTAATTTCAAATTCTGAGGTGTTTATAAGTGATTGTCCACTTATTAATCAGAGTGTATTTGTGAAATGGTTGCAAGGACTGTCCATTGAAACGACATCAAAATATTTACTTGAAAAACAGCGATCATCACACATGGAATATTTTTCAAAATATTCCTTCTTCGTTGATAGTTATTACCGGCTCATTACCAATGAAGTAGCCTATCAGTACAGGATATTTAACGATTTTCAACCATATTTACAAAACCCATTATTATTCATGAGCTGCAACACAATTCTCCAAGTTGCTCCCAGCGTAAAGCATTTACTCATACAGCAATATTTTAACTTTGACGAAAGAGTTTACAGAGAATTAATGGGAAAAAAGCTCACTTCAAAACTGAGAAGAGATTTAGAAGAAATTAGTGAAAAGTATGACATTGAAATTATTTCTGTGAGTTTTAACTGCATTGAATTCGGTGTAAAGCTAACATTATATTAACACTGATTTTTCATGATCATGTAAAACATGTGAAATCCATCACAACGATATAGGTGCGAAGACAATTTGATAATTTAAAAGCTATCTTTAAATTTTTCAAATCTTCAGCATCATGTCCATTAACGGACCTTGTTTCTCTTGAAAAGTCTGACGATGGTCAGACCATACTATCCAAAATCATACAAGAAAAATTCATTCTTTCCGAACGATTGGCAGAGTAAGTATTTAATGACGAGAAAATTACCGTGGCCTGACCTATCTTTTTACAATAATTTATAAAAACATAATCACATTACTATGAATTTATAACACTGCATATAGAAAATACGCAACACTTGTATTTATGACATATCAACGATTTGAAACGTCCAGAAAATTCATGAAAGATTTCAATTTTCAAGATCTTTACTTTTTATGCAGTCAGATTTTAAAACATTGGACTTACGAAGCGAGGAGTATAAATACAACAAGTTCCATCAAGCCTCCCACCATTAACTTTGCCAATGACCCATCGAGCCCAATTAACATTTCAACAAGTATTGAGCAAAATATACCAGAGGAAGAGCCCATCACAGTTTTTGACGCTCACCAAATTGCATTGGATTTTATCAAGTTTAGAGACATTAAGACCGTTATTTTCTCTGACAAGACGCGGCTCAAGGAATATGTATCACTAATTATCACGCAGCTTTCTAATGATAAGGCCTTCTCTGATGGAAGTTTGGAAAAGATTGATGTAAGTTTTCAGTGTATTGTGGCACAAATTCGCTAACGTTTCCCTCAATTCAATATTATTGCGATTGAATACCGTAGGAAATTATTGTGGAAATGTTAAAAACACTATTGCAAATTGGACAAGGTCTTATCAGCGCTAAGGAAGTAAGAGACATCTTCATTGATTTGGTTGAAAAGTTTATTGAGCCCATAGAGCGGATTGGTTTAACAGGTCACCAATTCTTCCAGTTGTTGGAAGCCATTAGAGAATGTTTTCCCAAAATTTCAACAGTCAAACCACAGCATATTCTCAAGTATAATCCAACATTTTCGCAGTACATGCTCGTGATTAGAGACATTTCTGTGTTCATGTATAAAAAGTTTAATCATTAAACAAAAAAGGTTCACCTCATGAAGTCTTTGAAAGTTACGGAAATGAGGAAGAAAGGTTTTCCAATTAATTCATTTGCAAAATGTGACTTTGACAACAAGGAGGACTTTTTAGAACCAGGTCATTCTTAAAATAATCAAGCGATGATTTTCACTGCTAATGACAAATGTCAATTGAAATTAGCACCTATTAAAAAAATGCCGGGACACATGTTTGGCAAACGAAGCGGAAGCTTTAACAGAGATGAAGGTGTCGTGTTGTCTGGTTATTTATTCAAGGTAAGTGCATCATTGCCATCTCTCGCATCATAATGATCACACACACATGAAAACTAAAATACCGTTGAATTGTTTCGAATTCAACATCACACCTTCTTCTTGTGGTGGTCTTTTCTCCACAACACCACCATCATCGTGTTCGGGATTTTCTGTTGAAAAATTCACATTTCAGAGAGGAAACGTGAATACGAGCTGGAAAAAGGTAAGTGTTTGAATCATTGAAAAATTGTGTGAAATTTGACACTTGTAATTTTCACACTCACAACACTTCAATATCTATTGATGACAATCTCCTTCACTCTCGTGAATAAATGTGCAAACCCATGAATTCATTCACATTCATTCACCTTCCTTCACTTTCCTTCACAATCACACTTCATTTTCTTACAAATGATCAACTCCAAACCAATTCCAAACCAATACCACACCCACACCATCTGAAATTTCAGCGATACTTTGAATTATTGAGCGATCATCGCTTGGTCTATTTCAAAACCAAAGTCACAGAAAAAAAGAAACAAGACTCAACACTTGGATGTCTCTATCTGGATCCAGCGAATACCATTGTCGAGATTTTTCACGAGAAAGACATTCAAGAAAGTCATGATCATCATGCTTTACATAACTTGTCGAGTTCAAATGGGAATAGTATGATTTCATCAAACTCGTCGTCATCCTCTCCAACATCCTTCTCACCATCATCACTCGTCAAAAACAATAGCGCAAAATGCACAACAGAAATTGTCGCCTCACCTCAAATCTATGACATTAAACGGATCAAAGAGGAACAAGAGTACATGTTAAACTCGAAAATGATTCAATGCATTTACAGAGAGAGAAAAAAGAAACAAAATTCCTTTCGAAAAGATCGAAAACAATCCGTCTTTTCGAGACTTTCCAAACACATACAATCTCCTTTAGAACTCTTGTCTTCGATGGACAGTTCTGCACAAGAAGTGTTGGGTGCCACCACTATTAAGAAATTCTCTTCTGGTTCCATTTTGCAATCCAAAATTGCCATCACTTCGACAACGACTGCTTCGTCGACTTCAATCTATTTTACTTTTAAAAAAGTGAAAAAGTACAAATTTTCAATTACTGTTGGAAAGAGTACGAGTGGAGAAAGGACACACAAGGATCGAAAGTATGTCTTTTATTGTGAATCTGAAGAAGAGAGAGATATGTGGATTAAGGCAATTATTTCGAGTATTGAAAAACAAGTGAAAACACAAATTAAGAAACCTTACACCTTTGATACAGCGCGACAGTATTCGAAATTCTTGAATTTTATTGCTGATTCTCCACAAGATCATATTATTCATGCATTGAATAGTGTAAGACATCCAGTTCAGGAATCGTTTTTAGTGTCATGGATGGTCTTGATGGATTGTTTTTCATTTCAAAAGGTATGTGAAAATTTCATGATTTTGAAAAACATTGAATTCATATTTTACCACTACTCATATATTCCTCTAATAATTGTGACATGTTCAAATGCCTCGTTTTTCATATGTGAATGAATATACATTTATTTATTCATTGATCATTTAAAGTCATGTACTCAACTTGTCAAAGCAGCCATCAAGGTCGAATTGGAACTCACCAAACATCCTGAAACTCTTTTTAGAAGGTACGTAGATGCATTCTTGGTAAATTCAATTCTCACATCGATCAATCTATCAAATTTCATTAACAAAAATCAACAACACCACCATGATTGGATCCATTATTATTTTTAACAATTCATTAGAAATTCCATTTCCACAAAATTGGTTCAACTCTTTTTCAAGATTCATGGACAAGCATTCTTAAAATCTACACTTCAGCCATTGATTGCCAAAGTGTGTGTTGCTGATGAATATTTAGAAATTGAACAGAGTCGACTTTTAAAATTTCTAAATAAGGAATTGGATGAAATTGAACATCCAGAGAAACCTAATGGTGAAATTATTCATCAAATTATAGCCTCTCGACAACAACGAAGCAAAACTCGAATTATTGATCTCTCCAAGAAATTCCTCGCCAGAATTATTGAAAACACGATCGAAGAAGGTCCTTTTGAAATTTGTGAAATTCTTGAATTTACTTTTGAGGAAAGCAAAAAACACTTTCCAGAAAGCACTGAGATTGCAGTGGGTGGTCTCTTTTTCCTCAGATTTGTCTGTCCTGCCATTGTAGCTCCTCATTTGCAAGGAATTCTTTCCACACAGCCACAACCGAATGCACAACGAACTCTTACTCTCATTACAAAAGTCATTCAAAATATTGCAAATCAAGTGTATGATCATAATTCAAAAGAAGAATATATGGGACTCTTATCGGAATTTGTCACCACAAATATCGAACCTGTTAAAGAATTTATTCGTGACATTTCACATTTGGATCAAGAGGCTAAAAAGTTTGAAATGAATAAGAGAGTGACCATGAGATTTAGTGATTCCAATGACGATTTGGAATTAAATTGTTATCATGTGATTCATGAATTTTTCCATACTATTGAAGAATCAAAAAAGTTCTTTACTTCAGATTTGAAATTGTACAATTTTTATAAGGAACTCTTAGAGACGTGCAATGAAACAGTTAAAAGTGAGTTACAAGTCACGAAAAAGAAAGGAATGGATATTCCACAACAGCAACAACAGAATAATGACACACCGATCGTGTCACCCTCTTTGAGTTCATCATTACCTTCTTCTCTCAAAGAATCGATTAATGGTGGTGGCGATTACAAACCATTTTCACTATTAGGAGCTCTTCAAGACACTTCTCGAAATGTCAATTTGAACAGTTCTGTGACAAGCACATCGACAGTCACTTCGAAAGCATCCATGGTTGATCAGAATTCATCATCAAACACACTCAATGATAAGAGAAGACCAGGTGCGACACGAATTCCCTCTCAAGAATCCTCTTCTTCATCCAGCAGTACGACTACTCCATTGTCACCTGAAAATGATTCCACACTTTTAAGAAATGCATTCCATCACTCGAATTCCTCGTTGTCACCTTCTCCTGGAGGAAATCCACAAGAAATAGTTTCTAGAAGAAGACGAAGAGGAGTTGGAAATTCCATATTCACTCCTCCCACGAGTCCACATTCGAGTGATTCTGTTGGAATGCCGACAAATCCATTTGAGAATGTCATGATGGGTGAAAGTGGACATCACACGACTGAAAATAATAACAAAGGGTCCAATGTGAATCAACAAAAGGAATCAAGTCTCAGTAGCACCAGTACGCCTACGACGACAACGACGACCACTACTTCGAGTCATGGTAAAACTCCATTCCATGTGAACTCTAAAATAACTTCTTCGACAAATTCTTCGATCGACTTGACAAATGACAGTGAAGAGGATGAAATTTTAATTTTGGAACAAATTTCAAGCAAATCACGATTCACTACAAATTCACAATTTGGTTCAGAACGTGTAGTAGTTCACGATGTATTTAACAGCCCAAGTGACACGAAATCTCCATCATCATTATCGGAAGAAACTGTCGATGAGGACATTGATGAAGATGATGATGAAGATCTTGAGAACGTCTATCACTTGTTGGAAATATTCAGTAAGGGCAATGAGATGGAAGAATCTGAATTTATTTCTCTTGTTTGTTCTTTCATTGAGGAAAGCTTTAGAGAAATTTCGAATTATATCAATTCTCAAATTAAGCCAACAACTGTCACACTTGTCAAAACGACCTCTTCAACAACCCAAACATTGACTGTTGACTTGACCACCAACATTCAAATCAATCCTCAATTTAAGAAACATTTAGAACTACTCTTCAAAAACAAGTTCATTATTTCTATCATTTCACTATTTTCCATTCGATTGAAGAAGGAAACTGGAGTTTGGGAATTAATTATTGCACTTTCGGAAGGAACACAAGATGAACGACTTTTAGAAATTTGTCAAAATGTGTGTGATCAAGTGGAAGGACATCCAAAATTTTTCGATATGGATCGAAATCAACAACAGTATATTTGTTTTTGCTCTTTCATGTGTCACTTAAGCAATGCTCAATTATTATTTGAAGGAATGATATTTTTACTGAATTTACCAAATATGGATGAATTATTGAGTGACTTTTACAATGTGGAAGATTGTCAAGAAATTAGTACATTCCCACTTATTTTTGCAAAACAATCCTTATTGGCCACTTTACATGAGCTGTCACTTTTCAAAATGTCACTTGACTACGATTTTGATTCTTGCAATATTTCATTCATGTAGAAATGGAAGATCATCCTCCTGTAGTACAAATTGAGTATTAATACTGAAAAGTAGAATTTCTTGAGAATGAGTTCACACGAATTCATCCTCTCAACGTTCAATAGTGAAAAACATCAAGTCTCTGAATTGATAATAACAACACTACTGCTCATCTGGTTTTTCAGGCGATCCTCTCAACACCCTTCTCAACAAGGAAATGATCAAAATTTCCATCAACACCAACACAAACATTCCAAATAAGGCAAAATTTAAAAAGTGTTCCAACAAGGTCGAACCTTCCCAACAAAACACTTGACACGAAATTTGCATCAAATACATGCTCAAAAACAACAAGTGGAACCATAATGAAATTTGACATTTTTTGGCCAGCATGTGCAACAATGGTCTCACAACTTTGTGTGAAATTCGACATTCTTCCATCCAATCCAATTTCTTGATAATGACAGAACCAATGGCACTGTACACAAAGAAACCAAAAGAAAAGATTCGAATGGCGTGAATAATGATACAACTGGCAATCATTAACCAGCTTTCACTCAATGGAACAGATGTGGAAAAGGATCTTGACAAATTTCCATTTGGAATTGAATGAATTCCAAAAAGTCCTAAAAAATTCTTTTTATAGTAATACGTGAAATATATTTCGTGATATCGATGATGCATATTGAAATTTTTGTGAAAGTTCGAACCATCATGATGGATGATGGATCCAACAGTTCGATGGTTTCTGTGATCAGAATCATCATCACAGTACGTGAGAATTTCAATCATTGGACATTCTCGATGATGATGCATAAGGTTCAACCATCCTGAATAATGCATGAGAATGAGTGAATAGAGAAGCCAAATGCTTTGTTTGACCATTGAAAATAGAAGTGAAGACATTTTGTGTTTACATGAACTGCAGTGTGGTGATGATGATGTATTTTATAATATATACTTATTCATCATTTAATAATAGCGTGCGTGGCATTTGAGAATGATCCACAAATGATCAATAAACTTTAATGGAAATAGACCAATTTATCCATCAATATAAAAAATCCTAAAAAGTGAGAGTACTCATCTGGGTAGTTGAGTTTGAGTACTTTCAACTACTACTACTAATACTTTCACACTTCTGTTACATCAGCTGTAAACTTGGAGACAGATGCATCTACTAATATCCAAGTTAATTCATTGACAACATTTCCATTTGTGAGGTCAAAGTGTTTCTTATTGATTGCCTTTGTTTGAGAGAGGATGGTCCTCTCCGACCTTGAGACTTTCAGTTTGGATTTTCAAATAATTTATATTGTAGGGCATTGAAAAAATAGTTTTCTGCTTTTATTCAATTCTACCCTTCGATTCTCGCACACCGTGGCAAATTTTTGGAAAAAGAAAAAACCATTTTGTCCTCCTAATTTATTGTGCAATAGTTGCTTGCCTTTTAATCCTCTTTTCTGATGCACAACAAGACCATCTCATCTGAGAAGGCCGATTCAACATCAACTACTCTTAATCATACTGCTGAAACAACCAGCTCCTTATCTTCTACATAGTGAATGTTTGAAGAGTTTGATTACTTTGAAGCTTGGACTAGGACAAACGAACATTCATGTCAAATATATTGCTAATAGTGAATATCTGAAGAATTTGACCTGTTTAGATCTGTACAGCAACTGGATTTGCTTTGAAGGTGCTAAATATATTGCTACAAGTGAAAATCTGGTAGTATTATCATCTCGGTATTCCAATGCAAAAACAAACTTCTCAGAAAACAATGCATTCCTTTCGATGATTTTGAAAAGGAAAATTACATTCCTACCTTCAGAATCAACACATCTTTCATCCAATTACAAATGAAAGAACTCCTCCTCTCTGAAACTGTCGTTTCGTGTTGACGAGTTGAGAAGGCAATGTCTTCAAAACATACATAACTCTTGTCAAGTGCTCGATTTGAAGTCGACTCGAGCCTCGAATGGCAAGAACATGCATTCGGAAAACTCACTTTGAGAGAAAGGCGCCAAGTTCTTACGATCGTGGACAATGAACGACGCACACAAAAAAAATATAACCACCACCAACTCTCTCAACAAGTATTTGTTCCAAAACAATACCACCACAGCCACCATCGCCACTCACTCATGGATAATGACTCTCTTTTTGAGGCTTATACCCTCACTCCCTCTCAGATTACCTCATCATCGGATAGTTTGTTTTCAGGTAGTGGAGGCAATGAGGATCAACAGAAGCCAGCAATGACTTCCATCGGGAATCAATTGGTCGGAGGAAAAGCTGTCTCCCAACAACAACAACAACAACAGGAAGATGGAATTGTGGTGATTGAGGAACCTTCCATACCCAAGCTTGCCAAAATAGCCAATGAATTGATTCGAGCTCAGTCGGAAAAGAAGAGACCTTCGGTGGTGCCTCCTTTGCCAATTCCTCCTGCTGCTGTGGTGATTGAGAAGGCTTCAACCACCGATTTATCAAATGCCGCAGTGGTTGAACATCAACAATCTCTCTCAACAACAGCAAGCTCATTCCTACCTGAGGCATCAAAGGAAATTGACACAAGTAAGGATCAATCAGAAAGCATCAACAACAACATTCTAGATGATAGCAACAATAACAGATATTACGATCAGTCCGATCATCATCAACATGAGGATACTCCAGATCTTGAGGGTTTGCCAATGAATCCAAATATTGAAAACTCATCATCGAGCCATCCCAACACTCCCAAGATGGACATGAGCCTTCATTTGTCCGCTCTCTCCTCACCACCAAAACCAATTTCTGGAGGTGGACCAATGAAAACGGGAGACCCCAATCTTCATCATTTGAAGGAGCCAACTTATTCTTCATCGCCTCCAAGAAGACCAGCATCAGCCTCATCAACCCGATCTACATCAAGTCAAAATCCCAACTATATGAATTCAACTATTACATGGTCATCCAAAGAAAGCAACAAGAGTATTGCTGATTTGAAAGGTAGGTTTTCTCACAAAACTTTACGTCTTGAAATCAATGACTATCATTATTAGCATCCATTAACGAACCAAAAAACATTATGCGGTTCGGTATGGCCTCTTACCAAAACAAGCCTACCTTAAATACAAGAGCGCCATCTCCATCTATCACAAAGCGGAGAGTAACACCAAGAAGGGAACGGATTTTTACCAGTATTCCTGATCTCAATTTGGAGAGTATTTCGTTTTCTACAGGCTTAGGAGTAAGTGATTTGATCTAGATGGCAATTTTCTGATTTAATATAATGCTTTTGTTCGGTTACTACACGAACCTTTTTCAGACCATTTCTCTTCCAAATTATAGATTAACCTCACTCAAAGGATTAGGTGTTAGAAACGACTTGAAAATTTTGTACATTCAAAATAATTATCTGACCTCATTCAAATATTTAGAAACACAGCCCAATCTAGAAGTTTTGTACGTGGCCAATAATTGTATTTCCTCATTGTATGGATTTGCAGAACAACCCAAGTTGAAATTAATAAGTTTAGAAGGAAATCCAATTACAAAACATCCGAATTACAGATTGATGGTTCTCATTGCAGGAGGACTTCAACTTAAGAAAATTGATGGAGAATTAGTTCAGTATAAGGAACGAGAATTTGTGAAGCAATATGTAGCATCCAATGAAAAATGTGTCGAAGCAATTAGGGCGGGATGGCTTCTCGATACAGCACCAAGAACGAGCGAAGAGTTCGAACAAATCATTGCTGACCTTCGTACTAAAAATATGGACGACCGTGATGAAGTGCGAAACTCTGACTTGTTCAGGGACTTGGTCAGTGGAGCTCTTGTGAAGACAGTCACTTCGCCCGATCTCAGCCAATACGAGGAGAAAAAAGTTACAAAATCTATGCCCATTGTAACACCATCCACAACCTCTTTCATCTCATCCGATGCGAAGGAAATGTCACTAAATGAAAGTTCCACTTTCAGCAATACCTTTCTCACCAATTATGTCAATGAAATCAAAAATCTCAAGATGCAACTAGAAAAGAAAGACAAGGAGCTTGAAGCGGAGAGAAAGAAAAGCAAGGAGCTGAAAGAAACAAGCTTACTATTGGAGGATTTGCAACACATTCACAAGTCAGATATTAGTGGTCTCTCAATTTCTCTAAACTCCACTTCTGACATGATCAACAACGTATCAGCATCTCTAAGCAATGAAAGCATGAATATTTACAAAGCATCCAACGACTTGCTTAAACGAATAGACTATGACAAGGTGACTAGGACGAGTCTTCTTGTTGACGAGAAGAAAATGTTCCGTATTCACATTCGAGTTTCCAACAACGAGTTAATTGATGTCATTACTGTCGATCAGAAGAGAGCCCTCGCTGTCTACAAGATTCTCCATATGAAAGTTGCTCTTTTCAACAAACTCAAAAAGCAAAAAGCTACTTCTCAGCAATAAAAAAAAAGAGCTACGGGTAATGGTAGAAAATAATCCCAGACACTGTGTGGTTATTGAAAATGATAGTGTGTTAGTATTTTAAGGAAGCATGAAAACACAAATGACAAAACTCACCCACGAGAATATTTTTTGCAATTTCAATTGACGTCTCAAACATGGCTCGCTTGGTGAATATTGAGTCATAAATTTCCATCTGCAGCATATTGTCTTGATGAAACACTGATGGATCTCCAAGGAGAGCTTCAAATTGATCCATATCAAGAACTTGGCGTGCTGGAATGCCAAAGTGTGAGCATTGTGAATCTTTCTGCTTTCGAATCGCATTGCGAATCGTTTGTTCGGGCTGCAAGCCTGCATTCATACACAATGTTTCTGGTATAACCCTCAAAGCCTTAATAAAACTTTCAATTCCAGCGACCTCTAAAAATTGTTGGCGCTGTTTTTCAAGTAACAATTTCTGTTCTAACTGCCACATACAATATAATTCAATTGAGCCACCTCCTGTGACAAATATACGTTGCGTTGCTGACAATTGGTCATGTGTAACCGTATTTGATTGGCTCGATTTGTTGCTACTGCATTCTGTGAGCGTGACCATACAGGTATAGAGGGCATCTTGAGCATGACGAACAAATTCTTCACATTGCTCGATGGTACTTCCACGAATGATAGTCGTACAGGTAGTAGGTTTATCATGTTGCTTCCCATTCAATGTATTCCTAAAGGACTTAATTAAGGTCGAGAGTACTTGATGATGGGAGAGACCTCCATTCATTCGAAAGAATTCACATGACTCTACTAGTCCTAAATAGTTTTGAGAAATGCTATTATTCTCATTGTCAAGTAAGGTCACATCCATCATACTACATTCATTTTGTAACTCTTCAATCGATTGAACATATTGAATATTGAGTGTTTTGCATGTGAATTGACAAAGCTCTTGGGACACATTTTCCAGACATAAAATTCCAAATGATTGTAAATAATGTGAAACAAGGTCATGAACCACTCCTTTACAAATGACAATGTCAGCATGAATAGATTTAATGGTTTCTGCCATTCTTTTGAAAACCATCTCTTCATCAACCTTGATTATGTCAAATTCAGTGAATGTAGAAAAATGTTAGAAAAGTCTGCTGAATTTCGAAAAGCCACACTCAAAGTTCATACCTTCCACTTTTCAAGATTTTCCACAGTATCGAGAATAGCATAATGTTTTGTTTTCGTACGCTGCCTCTGCAAGGGTCCGTTAATGACCAATAATTTATATGGAGTCTCTCTCGCAGGTAGAGTTTCGGTGGACGTCACAGAAGTTGACGGAATAATAATAGTTTTTGGAAGACATTCTGTTGTTCCAAAAAGACCTGGCATTTTCAAAAGCATGATATTTTTCATATCAAAATTATTTCCATCCATAACACTGGACATTGAATGATTTCAACAACTTCTTGAAATATTGTTGCGTTCACCTACCTCATTATTGAATCAGTCAATAAAGTTGCCAAATATTTGGCATGAATGTGAACTGCCGTTTTCGACGAGAGAGCAGAATTAACAATGGTTAAAATATTCTTTTTTCTATTTTCCTCAAAGTCAGCCTCCAAAACAATGGCAGCTTTCGGTAAAATTTCCGACTTTATAAATTCCAAGCATAAATCATATCCTTGCAAAATATATTTCATTGGAAAATTTTCTTTTCTATGCTTTGCATATGCTTGCTCACTTGTTAATGTCAATGTGAAATTCACCATCATCATATGAGCAGCAATAATAATTTATCAGACCTTAAATACTTTCGTGATGATGAAAACATACATCAAAGAACATGCTAATAGAGCTGTGCTCGTTGTTCCATCCCCAATAAACTTATCCAGTGATAGGACTGCTTCTACTAAAATACTAGCTGCAGCTTGCTGCACATTTAATTGTTTCAGTAGAAACACTCCATCTTGGCTGACAGTTACTCTGTTCAAAAATCAAAAATCAATTAAAAATTCATTCCATACAATTTTTAAAGTATCGTCATCAACAGTTTGTTGAATGTAATCATGATCATTATTATTTACAATATTATAAAATTATAATTTTGAAAGCTCTTCAAGAAAATCCTCCATCCGCCAGTAATTAAAAATCTACCTTTTATGAGGATCCACAATTAATTTACTTCTCGCATTGGGTCCCAACGAACTTTTCAAAATATCTTTCAAGGCTCCGATGGCCATCACATTTTCATGAAGAGCATCCCGTTGAATTTTTTGCATTTTTTTCAAAGTTTCGCTTTCAAAAAAATGCCGTAACTGGTCCTGTGGTGGCTGACGAAAGTTAGTTTCTACGCCTTTAACTCGAGGTGCCTGCGAGAGATACCCAAGTCTCCTACGGGAACACTTGAACGTGTTGTATTCCAAGAATACAATGTGTTGTTACAATTTTTGACAAAGCCAAGTTGCACAATGTAGACAGGGTGATCGATATTATGGCAAGCCGGCAACTGTCTTGCAAATGAATCGAGTCGAGATACTATTAAAGAAACCATCAATGATGGTGGTGCAGGAAGACAATCACGAATTGATTTCAACGTTTGGAGAAAACTTTAGAAATTGTTGGAATATGTCCCAAAGTATGAGCCATATGTTACTATTTGCACGTTCCATGGTCGTTGAGCAATGGATTCCGAATTCGTTTGGATGTTCCAATATTGCCTTATGGACGAAATATGGAATTGCGAAATATTGGGCCAATACTGAAATGGAACCATTGTTGTTCACGAGTTTTATCTATTTTGATAATGTTGGAGAGAGTTATGATTTGTGCTCCAAAGTTGGATTTTGGGAAAACAAATTGAAATTATCATGTCATGAATTGTTGTGTGAAAATACGAATGATAACTTGATCGCTCATGTCGAGGAAATGACAGAAAAACAAACATCGATCTTTGATTGGATCAACTATTGCCAATATTGTTTAAAAAACAACACATTGAGATCATTTCAACAAAAATTAGGACCAAACACAGGATGTTTTCCAAAAGACAACACAGTCAATGAAATGATCAATCGATTTCCAAACTCTCTTTCCTTTTGTGGGAGTTATGATTTTGGAATTCCTCTCATTATCAATACTAGCGATCTAGTTCCGAACATTTTGAAGGAGTTCAGTTTTTCGTATATTTGCTATTGCAGAGAAAATTTGTTTACATTTAAGTGTGACAATAATTTTACTCAATTTGTAACTTCGCAAGTGCTCTCCTTTGGTGAATTTGGCATCCATGTTGTGTCTCTCCTAGTGACATTCTTCTCGACATTCTTACCAAAGTTGAAATCGGTTGTTACTCAAAGAAAGTTCTTTAGAATTTTCACAATTGCAATGGTATTACTCAGTGAATTCTTTCTCTCTTTTTCCTTTGTGATCTCTGCAGCATGGGGATCAAATCTTGTGACCACCATTTTGGGAAACACTGCATTATCATTGGTATTTTTCAATCTTTTTTCATGGATTGCCTATTGGTTTCGATTAGTGCTTTTTGTGAAAACAAGGAAGACAAAGCCTACCATAGCAGTGTATGTTGGACTTGCATTGTTATGGTTGATTGTTGGAGCTCTTGTGCCATGCTTGGTTGCAGTTTTAGGTCAGCAACAAATACTGCAGGTTGTGCAATTCTATGCATATTATATAATTGCCCTCTCATTTGTGGCATGTATCATATTTATTATATCCTCCATATGGATTTATTGGGCCATGAAAAAGGTGTCTGATGTTAACATGTTGAACACATCCGTAAGTATTGAAATATGCCTTGAATTTTACTTAATTCATATGATGTCTTGAATTTTCCTTAACTCTTCCTTAACTCTTCATTGATGTTCGTTCACAATAGTTCATTCGATTTGTCGCTTTTTCCTCACTCTCCAGTTTCATCTTCTCAATTGCCTATGTCATTATTACTCAAGTCCAAGGAGGCTTATTAATAGGAGTTTTGTCGGGATCATTCAGTATTACCACTCATGTTTCGATTGCCTCCATCACTCTTGGACTCACCTACATGGAATTTGAAAAGGAAGAATTCACCGATTTTTATGTGTCTTGTTGCAGCAATTTGTTTGGAAAGTCCTTGCAATCGACTACGCGTTCGGCATCTTCATCTTCGCACACAAATGTTGAGGATTATTCCACCATTTATGAAGATCCCAGCGGTGTTGAGAATAGTACGTACTATTCCAAAATGCCCGTAAATTCTGAGAAGGACTAGATCACACCTATATTCGCATCGAGTGTGGCCATTCAATCCATTGAATTTCATCAGATCATGATTCGTTCCAAATATATTCGTGCTGACTTTGTCAAGCCAACAATGTTCACAAGAACTGATTTCAAAAAAGTTCAAGGGAAAAAATTGTTCTGTGAAAATTGTCACAATGACGATTACGACAAAATACATTATGATGATGATTCGTTCAACATGGTTATTCTTCTTATTATTATTATTTTTGATCTATGATCATCATTATCATCGTGTGAGTTCAGTTCTAGCCATGTCATTTCAGAGTGATGATCATCGAGCCTTTAAACTCGGAGGAGGAGCAGAATTGGAAACCAATGATGATCTTTTGGACACCACTCCAATGAATCTGACACGAATGTCTCACTATTTTAACAATTGTTGGAACGCATCGATGTACATGCGCGACTCGTCTTGGTTTGTGGCTACCATTGGGTATGAATCGACTGGCTGAAGCCTCGGAACAGCCATTGCAATATCAATCATTTCCTTTATTTCGAGACTAGTGGAGAGAGTTATGATTTGTGCTCCAAAGTTGGATTTTGGGAAAACAAATTGAAATTATCATGTCATGAATTGTTGTGTGAAAATACGAATGATAACTTGATCGCTCATGTCGAGGAAATGACAGAAAAACAAACATCGATCTTTGATTGGATCGATTATTGCCAATATTGTTTAAAAAACAACACATTGAGATCCTACAAACTGAAAGCTTCCATTCGCCAAAAGAAATTTTTTCAATGCTGACAGTATCATTACAAACAGAACTCTTTCTTGCTTGTGCCTTCTTAGCCTCTGCAGCAGGAGGTACAAGTAAGATGACAACGACTGTGACCAATGTTTCCATATCACTTGTATTTTTCGCACTTTTTTCATGGATTGCCTATTGGTTTCGATTGGTGCTTTATGTGAAAGCAAAAACGACAAAACCTGCCATAGCCTTTTATGTTTTTCTTTCAATGCTGTCCATTGCTGTTGGCATTCTTGTTCCTACAATAGTGACGTCTCAACAATCATTGCAACAAGTGATCGAATTCTTTACGTACTACCTTTTGGCACTCTCTTTGCTGACTTTGATTTTATTTGTGGTCTGCTCGGTGTGGATTTATTGGGCCATGAAAAAGGTGTCTGATGTCAATATGTTGAACACATCCGTAAGTATTGAAAGGTTTTTGCATTAATAATTGTTTACCTAGATTTACCTCCATTCTGTGTCACACTACTATTTCATTGAAATTCATTCGCTAATGTATATATTTGGATTATTATTGACTCCTCACTGTTACTCATACAGTTCGTAAGATTTGTCATTTATTCCTCAATTTCAATCCTCATTTTCTCCACTGCCTATTTGATTATTACTCAAGTTTCTAATGGATTTTTCATTGCAATCATTTCTGGCATATTTAGTGTGGTTATTCATGTGACCTTGGCCTCTATCACTTTAGGACTCACTTACATGGAATTTGACAAGGAAGATTTTATGAAATTTTATTCTTGTTGTTTCAAATCGACAAAATCGACAGGTCACCAATCAACATTTGTCGCCAACAACACCTCTGTCAACAATAGGACCACCACAAATGAATCACAACAATTAATGAATTCAAACGAAGATGTTGTTGGGGGTTTCGCTAAGCCAATCACGTATTATTCCAAAATGGACGAATAGGAACTTCAATTTCAATTTTAGAAATTGAGAGAAGAACTTGGAAAAAATTGTGTGGGCAAAGACAAAAGAAGAATTTAGGAGGAGTTGTGGAAACATTTTTTGAGGGTTACTACAAAGGATGATGAGAAGATATCTCATATCGGATCATGTTAGCATGATGAAAAACGTTCTTCTTGTGGGCCTCATGATGGTAGTGATGGTGATCATTGATGATGATTTTAAGGGAGATATGAAAAGCCTTATTATTGAGGCTCGGGACATTCATCCTCCTTCAAAAGCCTTAATACAGCGATCATTATCATCATCATATTTGCAGAATATTGCCAATAATGAAGATGATCATGGCGGAGTAAGAGGCTCAATTTCTTACTCGTCTAAATTTTCGAATTGCTGGAATGTCCCAACCTACATGCAGAATATTGTAGATTTTAGTCAAGAAACTGGACGAGAAGTATACATTCCGAATGATTTTGGTTGTTCAAATGTTACACTATGGACAACATTTGGGGTTCCTTCGTATTTCAAAGATCTTGATATTTCTGGCTATTACTCCTTTCTCATGTTTCTCAATGATGGAGAGAGTTATGATTTGTGTTCGAGAGTTGGATATTGGGAAACCAAATTGGGCCTCTCTTGTAACCAATTACTTTGTGAAAATAATCAAGTTGATAATTTGAGGAACGATGTCGAGGAAGTCACTGAAAAACAGACATCGATCTTTGATTGGATCAATTATTGCCAGTATTGTTTAAAAAACAACAACACATTAAGATCCCACAGAAGTGAGTTCACACCCTCAAATGGAGGATGTTTCCCAAAAGATAACACGGTGAATGAAATGATCAATCGGTTTCCAAGCTCGATAACGTTTTGTGGAAATTACGAGTTTGGAATTCCTTTCATTGTAAACAACACCAATGTTGCCCATTCATATCTGAAAGAAGGATACTCGTATCTATGCTATTGCCCATTTGACCAGTATTTTAGCTTAAAATGCGCCAATAATTATGTTAACTATTTGGTGGTTTGGGTCATATCCATTACTCTCTCGATCATTCATGGAGTTTCATTTGTTGTCACTTTTTTTGTAACGTTTTTACCAAAAGTTACAACAAGTTTTAAAGAAAAGCGCCCATTTAACAGCATTACCATTACTTGCGTGGTATTGTGCGAGATCTTGTTGTTTGTGGCCATGGTGTTTTCTCAATGGTTTGGAACAAGCCTTGCAATGACTATTCTATCAGACGTTGCACTTTCATTGGTACTATTAAGTCTATTCACATGGGTTATTAATTGGTTCAGACTCATCCTCTATGTGAAAACAAAGAAAACAATACCTTTCATTATTATGTACCTGGTGATGGCTGTATTGTTTCTGATTGCTGGAGTTGCCATTCCTATTCTCATTTCAGTGATTTATTTTAATGAAATGCCATCCGTGAATGTATTCTTTTCAATTTACATGTCAGTCTTAACATTTACTGCATGTGTGGCATTTGTAGCATCCGCGATTTGGATCTATTGGACCATGAAAAAAGTTTCTGACATTAACATGTGGAACTCTTCCGTAAGTGTCTCACTTTTTCTCTGACAGTTGCTTTATTGTTTATTTGGAATACAAAGTTTCTGAGATTTGTCATAATGGCCACAATAACAATCATTGTATTTGCTTCCACCAATTTGATCGTTCGAACCACGGCCCTGCAACGGAATTTATTAACACACGGAATTTATTTTCTTGTGTACAATACGAGCAATGTAATCATTACTATTGGACTGACGATCATGGAATTCGATCTACAAGAATTTAAGAGTTTTTATCATTGTACCACATGTTTCAAATCAATAGTCAAGTTATTAAGGCACAGCACGAAGAGTGTACAAATGAACCATGACACAAAAGATGAACCTCTCATTGCCGAGAGCCATTCAGATACCTTAATAGTCACAACGAGTGAACACCTAAACTCCAATCCACAATTTTAAGACGAATTCAAAGTTGAATGAGCGCTGAAATTACTTGTCTATAGTCCACTCGCGGCTAAACAAACAACTCAGTACTCGTCACTATCTGAATGATGTGAGGTAGACGGAGATTTCATCAACGTTTTGGAAGGAAGAGGTCTCAGATTCGTTCGTTGGGGTTGTGGATTAGGTGTAACGACCATGGTCCGGCTATGTCGTTCCTCCTCTCTCTTTGTTGTGGGTTGCCCATTATTCTCAAATGATGAATTTAGCAACTTGGCTCGTTCGATGGCTTTCTGAAGAGATTTTTGATGCCTTCTTTGAATTGGAGTTAAAGGAAGAGGTCTACAAGATTGACTAGACACTCGAGCATTTTCAAGACTCTTCTCAATAACACTGAATGTGGCTCTTTGCGCTCTATGTTGAGAGGCAGTTTGATGATCTTGTTCCTCATCGATCTCAATAATGGCTTCATTGGCTGATGTTGTCGGTGGTGGTGGCATGATTGAGGAATGGGCATTGTTGGAGGAGTTTTTGCCACCATCTTTCAATTCAACATTTTCACAACATTCCTCCTCTTCATCCTCTTCGTGATTGTCTTCCTCGTCATCATCACTACTGGACATGATATTTCCATTCAATGCTTTCATTCGCTCTTTCAACTTCTTTGCTCTTTTACTCTTCTCCTTTTCCATGACTTTTGAGTAGTATTCCATAAATTCCTCGTTGGAAGCCATTTCCATTTCCAACTCTGCCACTTGTCTCTTTCTCTGAATAATTCGAGTCACATCCACACCAAGGGAGACAATGGTGATAAATAAGAAGACGGCCATACCCACCACCAACACGATACTTGTAGCATCTCTTTTAAACACCAAATCATAATACGAATCCACAATGGAATTGGAATAACGTTCAAATTGCCACACTCCATTCACACAAATCATTCCATTCGAGAAATTTCTTGATTGTTCCTCACATTGACGACATTTATGATGAATACATTGCAACACATTTTGCTGATAGTCATTTTCAATTTGTTGTTTCAAAAGAGTCTCTCGAGATGAAGGATTATTGGACGAGGCGGTGGTGGTTATGGGAAATTCTCCACACACCCTACTCGATTGAACTTGATTTCTCGAACAATTCAGATTCCATTTTGGATGTTGAGTGATGAGAAGGCATTTGAGAGATTTCGCAGAGCAATATTCTCCCGGAGAGCAATCGGGATGAACAGGATAGGACAAGGAGAGAGGAAGTATTTTACAATTATTGGAGGAAGGTAAAAGGGGAGAGGTAAACGCCAACGATGACAAGACGATGATGATGAGGAAGAACACAAGAGTAATAGAAGGAGGGAAGGGTTTCCTACGGTTATGAAATATGGAGCTTGGATTTCTCATGAGCATTTTTGTGTTTTAATGTTTCCTTAATTTTTATAAAAAGAAATTACCTTATTTAGTGACTACCAACCTAACCACGAAATAAAGACATGGTTTACTGGTAAGGTGATCAGATAAAGAGAAACTTGAAGTCACATGTAGTTATCAAAATTAGTTGGTCTAATGAACGGTGGTGGAGATTTATCTACAAAAATTCATTCTCTTCAGAAGCACAGGGTGCAGCATCAGCAGCGACTGCAATGTGAGCTTTTCCTCCGAGTCCATTCGCATGCATTTTGTTTTTAAATACTGTGATTGTTTTTGTGGATCGCAAATAAATGGCATTCTTGGAGTGGTTACTGAAAACACTTCTCTCAATTTTCACGTCCGAATCATCTGTACAAATGATGGCATGTCCTTCATTCTTTTGAAAAATAGACTTGCTAATTTCTCCTTGAGAATCGTCACAAAATTTGATTCCATGAATTTTGTTACACTCAATGTGACATTCAGAAACAATGAGCTTTGTGGGTTCTATTGGAGGTTTTTTCACTGGCATGTCTGAAGGTAATGACGAAGAGGATAATGACGACGAAATTGAACGAATATCTGGAGATTGAGCTTGATCATGATGTGAATGATTTCCATCGCCATTTGTTGTCAATGACAAGGAGAAAGAGAATGATTCTTTTGATTCTGAATTTGTTGCCTTCACAGCAGTCATAGCTGTACCATTATTGGATTTTTGTTTCCGATTCAATCGATTATTTACAATAATTCCATGTCCATATCCACCTCGTATCATCACATGATCCAATTTACAAATTCCAGACATGACCTCCAAACAACTTGTATTTTCATAAAACAATATAGTATCCTTTGAAGCATTTTGTGTCAATGTCAAGTGTTCTATGGTGACCACATTTTTATCAATTCCCAATAATCTCTGTTTCTCCAATTCCTGAACTGTTAAATTATCATTAAAAGCATCCACCTTGATGATTGTTTTAACTCCTTCACACGAGCAAAGGTGAACGAGATCCATATCTGGATACACTCCTCGAATCGTCAATGGTTTTTTAATCACCAACGTTTCATTGAGTTTGTAAATTCCACTTCGCAGCACAATGTGATCTCCATCTTGAGCTTGATCGATAGCTTTTTGTAAATCATGGAAGGTACAATCTTCAGAAAGGTCAGGATCGACCACATGTAATCGATAATCGGAATTTCTCATCGATGAATTATTAATTTCCTTAATCCAACGTTCTTGTTCATTGTTGTCTTCACATGCTAAATAATAGGTTCGATGTGGTGAAATAATTTTAATTCCATATTTTTTCTTGGCGAGTTCGACGCCTTCACAAATGAGACCTTGAATGTTAATCATTCCTTTGGGTTTGGTGTCTTTTTGTGAGACGTAATAATAGAGTTTTCCTCTAATAATAAAATTGTTGTGTGGAGATGATTTGTAAGAAGGTGGAGATTGGTAATTGAATGTGGAGTCAATTAGTGTGAAATTGTTGTTCATGGTGGTGGTTATTGTCCATATAAAGAGAATATAAAAAAAATATAAAAATAATGAAATTCGAAGAATAATGAATTCAAATGATTTTAAAAATAATAAATTTTGAATGTATTTGTTCGGAGATGATGATTGGTATTGACCAGTTTGTCAAATATTAGTTGAAAATGTTGTCAATATTATTGTTAATCAACTTCCAAAAAGGACACACCGAAATAGTCATTCTACCTACTGATGAAGAATACATAGTCGATCATGCCATGTTTTGATAGATCCTCCTTGTTTGGCCTTGTTTTAAATGAGCCGAACAACCAATGGTGTTGTCACGAAGTGGCCACCATAAATTATTTTTAATTTTCCATATCGCGTTCCATAAGTTTTCGAAAAAGATTGTGTGTGATTCGACTCAACATGTAGTTTCTTCACAAAAAAACCTACCAAAGTTCCCATATAATCATGATCTCTCATTAATTCAGTTGCCGAAACTTTGGGAGGTTCCTCAAGGATCTCTTTCCACTTCTTTCCTGCTTTTTTGACCTTCTTTTCGGTGGACATTTTTTTTTAAAGTTGACAGCCAACTGTTTCTTTTTGAGCTAAAAACATCAAAAAAAATTCACGAGATTCGACCATCACCCTTATGGTGGTAACAATCAATAATTCATTCAATTTGGATGTGTTTATTGTTGGTCAGTATGACGATAATGATCGCCTCCTCCATGATGATAATTGTTGTAATCATTCTTATGATATGGCATCACGTTCTTCTTGAAGTCAGATGAAAAGGTCGATGACTTTTTTTCTCTTCGTTGGTAGGCAATCTTTCTGTACTTTTTGGTACCTTCTAATTCCTTCTTTGCTCTGATAGCATCCTTGACATGAGCAAAATTAACAAATGCACACTTTTGGTCACGTAACAAGTTTAAGCTGTCAATTGGGCCAAACTTTTCAAAATCACTGTGAATCGTAGTGTAGTCCATTTTCATGTTGTGGAATCGTCCAACCCACAAATGCCTAGTTGGCTCAGTAGCCTCAGGAATATTGTCTTCTTTCTCATTGTAATCCATATTCACATTTTCTCCATGTACATCAGGTGGTGGAGGTGGAGGTGGTTGAACGTCCGTGGTTGGAACATTCTTTGATGATACTTCTGGAATATTTGGAGCATTATAAGATCTTCTTGGACCATTGTTATAGTGATGAGGCTTTCGGTAATAGCTATCACCTCCATTGTAATCGTCCATATTGCTATATGATGACACGTTTGAATAATTGTCAGGACGACGATTATAAGACCCCATAGGACCACCAGTACCTGGTTGATATCGGTCATCTCCATACTTTTTATATGGTCGTTGACTACGGTCATACTCGTCATGATACGTATCTTCCTTATAGTATGGTTTGGAATATGGCTTATTGGAATAGCCAAAGTTGGCCGAGTCTGGTCTCCTTGGAGGTACAATTGGAGGCGAGGTTTGTTGTGGTTGATACGAGTGAGGTGGATAAGCATTTGATCTGGAGAAACCAGAAGTTGGACCACCGCTATAAGTGTGATGACTTGACGATGACACCATTGGTGGTGGAGATGATGGAGGTGGTGGAACACTAGAAGGTGGTGGTGGTTTTCTGATTGGAGATGATGGATAAGATCTATGATAAATCTCATGAGGAGGTGGAGGTGGTTGAGAAGCACTTGAAGGCATTGGAATTGGAGAAACATCATGATGTGACGACTGATAGGTTGAATATTGAACTCCATATGGAACGTCTTTTCTTCTCTTTGGTGAAATTGGTCGAGTCTGAGGTTCTGCGTATGCACTCGTCATTCTCTTTCTCTTCAACTCGTTATCATAGTTTTCATAGTGACCTCTCATATCCATTGGCATTGAGGTATGGCCTGGAGGCATAGCTTGTTGTTGCATGTGCATTGGAGGATAATTGCTTGAGCTGGTGCTGTGACTATATTGATCTGGAACCATGTTATGAGGTGGATAATTTGGAGGCATAGCATTATCTTGAGGAGGATATCGTCCAAGCTGTTGAGGCATCGTCTGTTGATAATTATTGCCATCTTGTGGAATTTGAGGAGGTTTTTCGTAGAGATTGCTCTGTGGTGGCGGAGGTGGTTGTTGTGACATGTGTGTCATACCTGGAGGAATATTGTTTGAGGGAGGCATAACAGGCATTTCAGTACCAACAACAGCTGCATTCTTAGGCAAATTACTATACATTGTATAGCCAGGAGGGCTATTGCTAGACATGGAACTTGTTGCCACATTCATCGCTGTTGGAGGCATTGTTGGTGTGCGAACGTTGGTAGGTGTATAACTTGTTGGAGTGACAGCAGCAATGGCATTCAGTAAGGATGAAACTGAAGAATCGAGAGGTTTGACATCTGCTGTTGGATATGCATTCTCCATCTGAAGAGGAGTTTCTCCCGTTGGAGTGCTCGAAGTTGCTTTGGTTTTTGGAATTTTAGGTATGGACAATAATGACAATTGCTTCTTCTTAATGTCTTCATCGTGTGAGGTTGGTGACTTAGGTGTGGTTAATATTGGCGTACTACTACTGGAGGACGTCTTTTTGTTCTTTTTCGAGGTTCTCTCAGGACTTGATTCGTCCTTCATCATAAGAGCTCCAATGAATTTACTTGGATCATCTTGAACTTCAGTTAGACCCAATGGTTTTAAAAATCTACTCTTTTTAGGTATAAATAAAAGAATTCTGTCATCAAATGATATCGATCCAACACAATTTTCTCTCTCCAAAATGTTGTACATTTCTTCAAGTTTTTCCTCCTCTGACTTACTCCTAGATGAAAATGAAAGAATATAAAACGATGAACTTTCAATATCTTCAACTTTGTCTAATGCAATTTTTTGATTCACCTCAACTGTGGAACCAACGTCCAGTTCAAATGAAGAGTCTGATCCTAGAAGCGACACATCAAATGAACCAAGAGTTCTTCCCTTGTACTTGACAGTTATTTTTTCAACTTTTGTCCATGGTGAAGATTTCTTCTTTACCAATTTTCTCTTGGATGTTTTCTTTGGCTTTTTAACTTCCACCGACTCATCACTGTCAAATTCCAGTGATATTGGTTCCTCTTCCTTCTCTTCTTCCTCCTCCTCTGCTTCTTTAACTTCAGAATCACTTTCCTTTTTTTCCTCCAATTTTTTGAGATAGAGTATTTGTTGTCGAGAAGTCATTTTCACTGAATCATCTTTAGCAGTCTCCTTTTTGTCTTGCGTTGTTTGTTGTTGTTGTTGCTGTTGGAGCTTGTCCGCTTTTCTTGGCCTTCCTGGTCTTCGCTTCACAGGTTGGGCTGGCTCAACCACAGCTGGTGTAGCACTGGGTGGAGTAGGAGGTTTTGTTGGCGTTGTTGTTGTAGTTTCAGCAGCTTTATCACCCTCCTGAGACATGGTTGCCAAAAAACGTTTCTTTAGTGGATATAGTGGTGTTGCGGGTGAAATTGGTGTTGTTAAATTTTGTACCAGGTCTTCTTCAGCTTTAATTGAACTTGGATCAAGGTCAGCGTCGTTGAGAGCCAATACTGCTGCCTGTCCAAGAGATAACAGGCCACCATCTAGATGAGTATCCTCCATTGGGGATATAGGTTTGGTTGGTGTTGGTGTTGTAACAACGATGGGATGTTTTCTTGGTCTTCCTCGTGGTCTTCCCGTTGGTGCTTTTTTCGGTTTGGGTTCGTTTTTCGGTTTTCTTCCTCTCTTCTTTGGTCCTGTGGTGGTTGTTGATGATGTCGTTGTAGGTTCACTTGTTCGGTTAATTGTTGCTGATGATTTAGTGGGAGCTGATGATGTTTCTTCCTCTTCATCGACTAGATCCGAAAAATTATCAGAGGATTGGCTATCATTTTCATCTTCATACGTCTCATCCATATCATCATCAATTGTTTTTCTTCTTGGCATTATTGATAATATTTATAATAACCGTTTTATAATAATTTAATACTCTTCTGATGAGAGTAAAATATCTATAATAATAATTGTTTGTCGATGTATTACGACTATGATCAATTGTAAAAATTAATGTTGTTGTTTTGCAGCTTCTTCTACTCTCTTGTTAATCAAAATGAACGTCAAAATAATTGTGGATGTTGTTGCGCTCGCTCCAACAAAATATGAGGATGATCGTTATTTTTTTTAAACAATATTTTTTTTCTCCTTCATGTGATGAAGAGAGTTTCCAATATGAACAAGGAACCAAATGATGAGGAGTTAAAGATTAGAGAGAGAATAATAAAACTGTTTATTTGAGTCTCTCCAATTTTATTGAGAGAAAAAATGTCGTGTGTAAAAATTCGGAAGAGCTCTTGTGAAATCTTGTGAATGATTCAATGTGGATGAACACATTTCATATTTCATACTATTTAAGAGACTCCAATCATGAAGGTGCTATTGTGAAGAAACGGCACACAACAGAATACCACATTATAATTCGTTTTTATACAATAACAAGATCCTGACAACACTGTAGTTCTATAAGAGGCTTAATTATATTATTTTATTATCAATAATAATAATATTATTATTTAATTTAATAATGAGATATTCAAAGTTCTATTGATTTGGTATTTTCTAAAGATTATTTGGTTGGACTGAGTGGTGGTGAATAGATACAACCCTCCTCATTACTTCAATCTCAATCGATCTTTCAACGAAATCACGACACGTTCAACGAATTGGTAGCATCTATCTCTCGCAAGCGTCCACTGGCCATAAAGCGAGTTATGGAGAGAGATGTGTGTGATCCAAAGTCCAGGACTAGTGAAGATATCTTGCATTCGAAGGTGTCGAAGCGTTCACGACAAGGTTCAATTCGTGACGGTTGATGTCCAATAGTGAGCTCACCACAACCGTAGTCGAAGAGCAACACCTTCGAATGATGAGAGTTTTCTACGAGTTCATGCGTCGTATTTATACATGCATTGATTTAATCGAGATACATGGCTATTAGGGAATAATTCTTCCGAATGTACATAGTAGTTGAATATTATTTCAAATAATATTGTTTACTAAGAAGAGACAAAACGTTTTTGCTCAAACCTCTAAATTGACCAAATTTAAAGGATTACCAAAAATTTCTTTTGGAATTCACGATAAGTATGAATACAAGCAGCATAATGAATGTATACAATAATATCTGATCAACTAACATTGAATGCCCATAGCAAGAATTTCACTATGTATGACTCGATCAAAAGAGAAAAGTCTTCTTATCAAGTGTTTGCAAACATGAAAGACACAAAGAGGGATAACTGACATTTTTGTACTTTTGTCTTTCAGACCCCAAACAAGAAGAGGGAGTTTGTTGTCATGTAATCAAGTTTTACTTGAGATGAGGCCAATGATGATGAGACACAATATATCGTGAGAAGGTCCTTCCAACCATTCGAGTAAAGTGATTTGATTGACAACTTAACAGTGAAATAGGTCCAAGGTGAATGCTGATGATGATGGCGTAGACAGAATCCTTTCGGTAGTACCTGATTTGCAGAGCTCTCTCACAAAACAGAATGCACACACATTCTGATGGGATGTTTCTCAAACAACAAACCGCACAATTCTCTTGAAAGAATCTCTCTTGGACCACAGAATGTGTGATAGATTGCGATTCCAAACCCATTTAACCACCTTCCATCAAGCCTTTGATGCCTCCCACTATACAACCTCCACAGGTGGAAAAACTCCAAACTTGAGCTCCACATCAAAGCCTTGAGGTGATGTTGTACAACTCTCTCCAACAACAACAACAACAACTTGTGGTGATGAGGACTCAGGAAGAATAAAAACCACAACCGCATCAAGGGATTTTGAAGAGAAAAAAAAAACACTCAACAACACCAACAACCTTTTCCAGCTTTACCTGAAAGAAAATATTTTTTGCTTAAACGTTTTGTTGTCGGTCTCGAATTGGACTCTCTCACCACCAC